ATCTAAATATATTTTATTGACTGAGTAAATATATTTATAAGTTAATGTATTTACTCCAAAAGAAATCACCATGTATATTTACTTTCAATAAGGAGATTGGATATGTTGACAGCAAAATTAGGGTACAATATATACACATAATAATTATTTGTAATGAACATGTTTTAACGTTTTTGGTAAGGTATTAATGTGTTAACTTGAATGTGCTTAACGAGATAGGTTTAAGGAATTAGTTGGAGTAACTATCTTTATCAAGTTACAAGTCTGTCATTACATAAGTTAATATTTAATTTGTACATCAGGTTTTCAACTTCATGAACACTGCAAAGACAATGATTTGTCTGTCATTCCTTGTACATTTTTTACTCTAATCAAATTTGCAAACACAAGAAAAGCGCAGACCCAAATACACATGAGATGCACATAGGTTATTGAGTTTATTTAAAAACGGACAAATCATTGCATTGATAACACTGCATACAAAATCAAGCACATAAGATTATTATGAGAAGTCAAATAGAAAAACAACTCAGCACAGCGTTGGAGTAGAAGACATCGAGGAAATAGCATATATCGGTAATACATGAGTTTTTCAGCTAATATCAGTGTAATTTTTCACAAACTGGTATGCTCTTTTGAAGTAGTAACACTCCTTGCAAAACTCTTTCATGTCATAACGATTGCACTTTGACCGTGGTGCAAGGTTAACCATGTTAATATAGTAGTCTTGCGGTATAGTAACATCGATATTTTTTAGTGAGATCTTCAGAGTTTCCCAGCATTTATCAGAAGTCGACATTTTCTCACTCCATTTGAGTGAATCCAAGTACTTGAAGCCTTTTAAATAGTGACCTCGGACAAGCATTAACAAACCATAAACATACATACCGTTTTTATTGTTTCCAAGGGCTGCTAGACGAAGACCTTTGTGTTCTGCCTTGTGGACAAAGTATTGTAATAACCCTTCAATGTAGAAAGCTTCGGGGTTATGATTTTCTAAGCAAAGATCCTTTAACTTTGCATGGTCCTCGAGCATAAGTCGTGGCTCAGCAACAAAGTATCCGAGATTCATGGTTCGGAAATAGTGGCTGCGATCTAAGTTCGAGTCACCACTATCCCCGTCGTCGGTGGAGTCCGCGTTCGTATTGTTGGTGTAGGGGGCATCACTCTCGGCGGAGTTGTAATTCTTGACAGAGTTTTCGGAACTCATTTTGTTTTGAGAACTATTTCGACACTCTCACTCTACTGCTTACTATTAGTTTGAAGATGATAGATGATTGCATAAATAAATAAGAGTAGAAGATTATATGAAAACATAATAGGATTATAAAAAGCATATATACAGCTGTATTGGAAGTTTCATCCAATCTATTAATGCATAACCCACTTACTTGAAAAAGGAAAAAAAATACAAGGAATACTGAAGAAAGAAGAAGATAAATAATTCTCGAGGTTTCAATCTATCACTCTTTGTATTCTTTGAAGAGATCAATGTTGTTCGATGTGTTGGTAATAGTTAGGAGGAATATTTTGGAAGTAGACAATATAATACTGTTGTTCAATGTGTTGTCACATTGTTTTTCTTCCAAGAATAATGGTTTTCAATAAAGGTTCTTTCAAGTTAGAGAAAAAAGCTGATGTGAAAGGTGATAACACACTGATCAAAAACAATAAGTTGCAACCATCTCCATAGATAAAGACAACATTGACATCAACTGTAATTGCTTCAGGATCTTAAAACTCTAATCAAATTTGCAAACACATTTTTTAGCTGCCGCAAATACACATGAGGTAAATATGACCGCCTAGCTTCTATGTTATGATCTTAGTTTTGCTTATTTATGATATCAGAACAATTTGTAGGGGATTATTTAGTTTAGAAATAAGTAAATGATATTTTTTAGTTTAAAATATTAATATTCTGTGTTTTGTTTGGTAAACTTATTAATTATTGTTTTTTATATGTAGGATTACAAATCAAGCGTTTTGAAGACAATTTGTCATTATATTATATCTATTTTCTATTATTCATGTTCTTTTAATTATTATCATCCTAATGTCATGTTTTTATTATTTATTCATTACTATTTAATAATGATCCGAGTATTTTCTTAATATATCATATTTAATTTTTCAAAATTTTCTGTCTGTGAAAGAATCATGGAGACTAAATATAAAAGAAAAATGATAATCCAGAAAACAACCTTAATAACGGCCTAATGACAATCATTAATAACAACCTTTTATTCCATATACTAAGTATATCTTTCCAAAAAAACGACATTATTCATAAAAAATAGAAGTTTACATTATATACACCTGCACATATAAGTAACAGAAAGTACACTGATGCATAAACTTTTATATTTTGTTTGCTCGATCTTTTCAAATCGAGTAAACACATATACACACATAACAATACATAATTCAGATGAAGAGATTACAAAACAAGTCAACATCTAATAATATTTTTGGAGAAAGTAGAACTGCTTGGACAATGAACAAAGTAGCAAAAATTATAACATAAAAACATATAACTGTGTATCAAAACTAAATCCTACGTAAATAGTTAGGCTAAAAACACGGAAAAAAACAAAGGTATATGATTGTTTTACTATAATTTAATTCCTTAAATTTCGGGTATGAATGTCAGGGAATCTGATAATGTATTATGTTAAGTATTTTTAGAAATTTTCCGGTTTGTCTATATTCTCACGGATCTTTTCATTCAAGTTAATGTTGACATTCCTTTTTGCTTTCTTAATAAAAGATTATAGAATTAAATGATTACTTGAGACCTACTCATGACCTTATTGTTACCAAATATAATTTCTGTGTATATTCTATAGCACCTAGGTTTCGAGGCTTCCTCTTACAAATACACTTTTATATGCAATCAAACTTTATTCGTTTGAGAGAGGTTACAATCAAGCAAGAACCACTTATTTGATTTGGTGATCTTCTAAGAGTTTTTCATGTTGTCGTCATTCTATATCAATTAAGTTTCCAAAGAGGTTACAATCTCCACTCTATATGTTCTATATTACGAGTATTCCCGTTAGGTTATAAAAAACGATTAAATCCTGTTTTTTTTTCTTTGTCAATACAGAGAATTTTTCAAACAATGGAAAGCATGAAGAAGACAATTTCTGAAATTATTGACTCAAGAACGGTAAATATGTTACTGTCTTAGGGCGGCCAACCATTTATAATTTTGGTTTTAACTAATTCGAATATGATATCACTACATATTTATTGTTATCATTGAAATAAATCAAAATAGGCTGGACAGTACGTGGTTGTTTCAATAATTGACGCTGTTGATTTGGAAAAATCATGGTATTACACTGCCTGCAATTTTTGCAATAGAAAAGTGGTAAGAAAAGGAGATGGTTTTGATGTTATTGACAACCATGTTGATTGAATCGTCAGTTCAATTGCATTACATGCAAGAAGGATGTTGAACATGTTATTCACTGGTATGGCCATATTATATTCCTTTTATCTTCCTACCTTTATAATCACATATTATTACATGTTCTGAAACTAATTTCAATTTTGTATTTTTTAGTTACTACTTGGTTTTACTTGTATCTGATGAATCAAAAGCAAAAGCCAAGTTTTTGCTTTTCAACAATGCTGCTGAACAACTCATTAGTAGACCTGCTTTTCAGTTAGTCCAAGAGGTTGTTGAGGTATTTCCATAAATTTGTAAGAAAGGGGGAGTAAGTAATATTACATTATCGAGATAAATTGTGAACCGTCATTTTAATTTTTTTTTACAGGAAAATCCACATATTTTACCTCAATCTCTAACAGATTTAATTGGGAGGAAAGTTTTATTTTGGATCACTATCGGTTCTTATGGTCTGAAACATCAAGATTCAACATATGTTGTTGATTAAGTGGTTGACAATGCAGAAATAGTTCAACACTTTCATCCACATGTAAGATATAACTTATATGTGAACTCATCTTTAAAATACGCAATATATATTCTAACCAACTGCAATATTTTGTGCAGCCACATGTTGTGATTTTTAATGATTATGACTCGGAAGAGGAATTTATATGAACTGCTTACTACTCCAAAAGAAATGGAGAAAGTTGAAGTCCATGTTGCATGTCAAAGGCGATGAATCTCAGTATTTGATTTGTGCATGTTTTGTTTCGTTTTATACTTATTAGTATCAAATAATTCCCTCATTATTTAAATCATCAAATAATTCCCTCATTTGTTTCGTTTTCTTAGTGTCCCTGTTTTTAGTTTTATACTTATTAGCATCAAATAATTCCCTCATTTGTTTCGTTTATGTTTTCATCTCATTTGATCGATTATTGTTTACCCATTATTTAAATCATTTATTATGTAACAACTTATTAAATTTCCAAGAAATATGATACAATTCAAATTTTACACATTTTAAAGTATTTGGCTTATCATAAAGCTTTTTTCCAATATAGTACATGTTTAACACTTGCACAAGTAATAAATTGTAGAATAAGGCAACAGTTTGATACGCAAATATTATAAAGAATTAAAAGATTTATACATATATTTTAAGTGGCTATCACGTAATGAAGTAGGTTATATCTCTATTATTAATTTTGGCAACAGAATCCATCCAGAGTAAAAAAAGGAGATTGTAAGAAAATCAGAATTGGAAGTGCAAACAATGTAAAAGAAGATACTAAGGATTATATTGTCATAAAGTGTTTTCCAAAAAAAATAATTATTATTTTCTTGCCAACACTATAATAAGGAAATATTATCAATCTTTAAGGATTTTACATATTTGTAAACTGGCTATCACGTATTGAATTAGGTTAGTTCTCTATTATATTTTGAAAACAGACGTCGGCTTCTGCACTCGATTTCTTCGATCTACTATAACATAGTTAGTTCATTCAATCCTTATTCTCCCAAGTACATAAGATTCAATATACATAAAGTGTTTTGTTCTTACTAAAAACACAAGCTTTCAGGTGGATTTGGAAGCATGAAGAGAAGCAATGCATTGTCGACAGACACTGGGAAAAAATCACATAAGAAAGCCAAAGAGGGTATGTTCTACTGAAAATAAACAAAATATCTAATAGTGTTCTTAGGGTTCGTTCTACTGAATCGAGAGCTAATGATCATATTACGTTCTAATGATATGGGTTAATGTGTTCGAGTTGTGAAACGCAGGTACCAATGACAAAGAGAATACAGTTGTGGGGAACAAAACACAAAACTCATCTATCATAGATGTTTCACCTTCACCAAGTATCGAAAACCATTTTAGGGTGCCCTTCCAGAATGTTACGAATCAAGTATTTCGACCCATTATTCAACGGCCATCACAGTCTAATCCTTCAAACTTCGTTGAAAATTCATCGACACATACTGTCCCATTAAGTAGTGTTTTTCAAAGTTTTAAACATGCGACACAGAGATCAAGAGTTGCAAGAAAGGAAATCCTGGATAACAGAAGAACAATTGGCATTACTACCTCAAATAGAGGTAACTCTCATTAGACCTTTCAGTTTCCCCATGTTTATTTTTATGTATCTCTTGACAATAAGCTACAATCTGACCAATTTATTTTCATTACACTGAAGGAGTTACAAGGAATTTCAAGCCAACAAAGCCATCACTTGTACCAACTTCGAGTATAATTTCATTACAATCAATAGAAATCACAAATTTAGGAGGAATTACCTAAAAAAACCTTTCTCACAATTAGCTTCCTTATTTAGTTGTTCATTTTACTTATGTCTGCAGGCCCCCATTCTGAGACGCAAAGATCACCTAGCACTGTAATTTTGACTGGTTCTGGAAACGGCCCGCACCCTGCGATTAATAGCATAGGTAGGTCAAAACGGGAGTATTTTTTTGGTATCGCATTGTATTAGGGATCATACAGAAGTAGCTAAGACTAATCATTAGGGAGACCGCGTAATTACAAGTTACTACTATCACATTTAATGTCATCTTTGTAGGTAAAATTGGTAACCTAGAAGGATCTGAACGGAGTACCAACATTTCAGCGAGGAAACGAAAGACTCTTGGATCACCTCCATCGATGAATTCAAAGAGAATACAAACGAAAGGTAACAACAGTTATTACTAATTTAGCGTATAGTTATTCTATTCTGTTATTCAGTCAAGTGAGATTAATTTTACTCTGGCAAATATTAACAGCAAGTCAAGGTCACAACATGACAGGACAATCAAATCCGACTCTTCCAAGACTGTTTCTAACAGATGAAAATCCTGAAGGTATTTTTATCCTCTGTTATAATTGTAGTAATATTATGACTCACTAAATGTAAATATTAATATATAATCATAGTTATTATTCTGCTCGTCTGCTCTAGACTTCGGTTTATATGTTCATCATTTTAATTTTCAGCTATGCAAAGTTCATTACAGCAAGGCAAAACAAATGTATTCGTTCCTCCACCAAGGTTCATCGTGGAGGACCATCCTCAAGGTAATATTATGACTTCAGAAAATTATATTCATTAATCATATGTTTTGACTATGGCATACAAATTGTCACGCAGCTTACAATAATCGATATGAAATGGACAGTGAGTCTGAAAGTGAAAATGAAGATGACGAGAATCAAACTTACACTAACTATCCAGATGGAGAGTCTTTGATAAACCCATCACCACAACATATCGCAGAACAAACAAATCATACAGTTACATCGCCTATTGTCAGCGGGATACAAAAAAACGGTAATCACGTTGTTCTCAAATTTAAATATTTAATTCTTATTGTAACAATATATTTATTTTAAATAAATGAGTTCTCATTTAATATCAAATAAATAGTTTGATACATTTTATAAATTAGTAGTCAAGCTTATTAAAATATATCATAATCTCTTACAATAGTTAAAAAAACTGCTAAGCCTATATAAATAGATTCAAATATAATATTGTGACCGTTAATGAGGATATCTTCTTAAACAGGTTATTACGACGACGGAGATCCACTTTGGAATTGTAAACATTGTCAAGCATATATGTGGTATGGTGAAAGAATTGGAAAACGCCGTCGTAGTAAAAATTATGTCTTCACAATGTGCTGTAAAAGTGGTAAAGTTGTGCTTCCACGGCTCGCGAATCCTCCAATGGAGTTAATGACTTTGTTATGCAAGGGAGACGAGTTAAGAAAACATTTTCGAGAGTTCATACGAGCTTACAATATGATGTTCTCTTTCACATCTCTTGGGGGCAAGATTGATCATTCTATTAACAATGGTCGTGGACCATTTGTGTTCCAAATGTCCGGTGAGAACTATCATCGTATTGGTGATATAGTCCCCGAGGCTGGACAAGCTCCCAAATTTTCGCAGTTGTATATCATTGATACTTTGAATGAGATCAGAAATAGACTTGAAGCTTATGCCGGGTATGTTTGAATAATTTCTATCAACGTAATATCTCGATATATATTGTGAAGACTGCAGTATGGTTTATGTTTTGGAGACTTATATTTAAAAAAAAAAAACCTTTTGTTGCAGGACTGACAGAGCTGCTGCTAAGAAACTAAGAGAACCACTTGTTCTTCTTCTGAAGAATATGTTAGATCAGTGTAACCCTCATGTTAAGGCCTTTAGGTCTGCAAGAGACAAATTCGATGTGGAAGGAACTACAGGTTATAGGATGAGGTTGATTGAGAGTCGACAATCTGATGGACGAACCCATAATNATGAAGTGGCTGCTTTGATACCTGGAGATTTCGTTTTAAATATGGAACCTCGAGATATTGTTCTAGAGAGTACAACTGGAAAGTTGCAAAGGATAAGTGAATTACATCCGGCTTATCTGCCTCTGCAATATCCACTGTTGTTTCCATATGGAGAGGATGGCTTTCGATTAAATATTCCTATTGGTTTTGATGACAGCACGGCGAGAAAACGCAAGAATGTAACTATGCGTGAGTACTTTGCATTTCGGATTTTAGAGAGGAGGTGGGAAGCACCTACAATTACAAGATCAGGTAGATTGTTTCATCAGTTCCTTGTGGATGCCTACACAATGATAGAATCGAGTAGACTGCGTTACTTGTGGCTTAATCAGAAAAAGCTCCGATCTACCAGTTACGATGCAATCCAGAAAGCAGCTCAAAGAGGTGGAGCTAAGATGGCTGAGCAAGGGAGCCGAATTTTCATTTTTCACCGGAGGAAAAAGGTATATGAAGCAGCACTACTATGATGCCATGGCTATGTGCAAGTATCATGGATTTCCAGATCTTTTCATCACTTTTACGTGCAATCTAAAATGGCCTGAAGTTACAAGGTATCTCAAAAAATATAACCTGACCACCGAAGACAGGCCTGAAATATTGTGTAGAGTTTTTAAGATGAAACTCGATAATCTTGTCATGGAGTTGACAAAAAAAAACGGCTCCTTATTTGGCCCTACTGCTGCAGGTAAATCTCCTTATATATATAATCCTTATAAATATATTAATTATTTTTTTCAGACAGATACTTTTTATAGTTTATTTGTTGATTAAAAATTGTCTGAAACCAATTTTTTTTTTCTTAGTAATGTACACGATTGAGTTTCAGAAAAGAGGAATGCCACACACTCATATTCTTGTTTTCATGGAAAAAGGATCTAAATTTCCAACAGCCGATGATGTAGATAAGATTATTTGTGCTGAAATACCAGACAAGACAGTAGATCCAGACCTGTATGAAATCGTTGGGGATTGTATGATGCATGGTCCTTGCGGACCAGCAAAGAAGGATAATGTATGTATGGTTAACGGTAAATGTTCTAAGAT